ATATTCACACAATTCCACACACATGCAGTATGTCAAGTGAGTGAGAAGTGGTGCAGGAATTGCAAAATGCAAGCTATCTGTCCAGGTACTTTACAAATAACAAAAAGCATGGAAAAGTTTGGATAGTCAAGATGTCCTATACTTCTGTGTTCTGCTTTAATGAACAGAAGTGAGGCTTACATTTATGAGCAACTATAAACAAGAGACAGGCATTGGAGACTCCCTGCCACCATAATCAGTGCCGTGTGCACCTGTTCTAGTGTTTGAAGTGATTATTTTGATATTCATAGAGTTTCAAATATATCCAAGTAGATATACAAATAATATTGTATCCACCAACGATTCATCCAGTTTAATAACCTTTATTATTCAGCTATGCTAATATATAGCTTTAGGCAACTGTTTAATTCAAACAATATAAGGTTGTTCACTAAGTAATAGTGTTTGGTTGTCAGCAAAGTATAGCATACAAAATTTTTCTATTAGAAAATCCACACAATACACATTAATATTAATGTAAAGCGCTAAGAAAATTGATGTTAAATTGATGTAAAATTGGGTATACAAAAAAGAAAAGCTGAATGTTGTCCAAATGGTATACTGAAGGAATTATGGATGCACATTTTAATAGTTTTTTAATTGATTCTTCTCAGAATATATATATAGCAATTCATTTATTTACTGTTATGAATATATTGTTTTCTTAACCCCTTCTTGATGTCATTTTTGCAGATGCCATTGTAGCATTATTATTATTTTTTTTCATAATGCATCATATATCATATATAGGACACATTATTTTTTAATAGTTTTAATTTCCAGAACTCTGAAATGTAACCGAATCACGAAGCAAACAAATTAGATGAACATGTCCGTTTGATTCGGAATTTGGAATTCCACCAGTGGCAATTCCACCTTAGTCACAGATGAAGTGAGAAGTGAGTTATAGAGGGAAAATAGGAGGAACACTAAAAACATCTACATTTATATGATTATATATTGAATGCACATATAATATATAAATATGTATAATTTACTGCTCCTTCTCTTTTTCCCTTTATAAGTTTTTTTCTCACTTGACCTGTAAACAAATGGAGGAAAATTTGCATATTATGTATATATTTTTCAGTACAGTGATTGGAAATTTTAACTTTTGGTTCATCTGATTCATTTTCCCAAATATTTTTTTTTGTTAATGAAACAGTCATTCAGCCAAAACAAATTTTTTACATGCTGAAGTCTAAAATTGACCCACACACATTCACTCACAGACACACACTCACAGATGCACATTCACTGACAGACACACCCACACACTTAATGACAGACACATTCACACATTTACTAACAGGTACACATGCATTCACAAACAGCTTTTTAAATTCTTACACCAAAACATATATTTATTCAAAATGGTTCTTCATTCAGGTCAAAGGGCCCCCACAACCATAAGGAGGCATGGGTGGCAGCCTTACGGTGTACCAGCACAGAAGTACAATGTTCGTGTGACTAGCAGGAGGGGAGCGCACAGCACAATGCTCCCCCTCATGCCAGTGACTTCAAGTGGCCGAGGATGTTCTGTATCCTCTATCCAGTTTGACATGAAGTTGCTCAGTGCACTCAGTGAGCAACTTCCTGTCAGACCAGGTAGAGGACACAGAACATTATCTAGCACTGTCTGCTCACTCATGGTGCATGGAAAAAAATCAGACACAGCAGAAACAAAGGGGAAGAGAACACAAAGAGGATGGAGACACAAAAGGAGCCGGGGGAAAGTGAGACAGACAGGTTGGGTGGGAGGGTAATCACAGTGAGGCTTAGGGGGGAGAGAAACACAGAGGGGCTGGGGTAAAGAGACACACAAGAGTATGCATTTTTACCTGTGTAGTCAAAAATCCTTGCACCAGCCATGGGTAAGAAAAATTCTATGATATCACAATGGCCACAACATGCTTATTGTCATGAAGGAATTAACCTTTTATGACAGGGATCCAAATTGTGCACATGACATTAGCACCGCAAGCTATTCTGCTAGCATAACATTAATTCAGAGACCCATTCTTCAAGTGTAAGATAATAAACTTGGAAATGTATTTACTTACTTGTCTTAAAATGACCCTTTCCACTGTCAGGGCATGTCCATTACACTGGAAAAGGCAGTTCTGCTGTAATATCCAACTTTATGATTGTCATGTGCTATTTCAGTAGGTTCATTGCTGGGAACCTACTGAAATAGCATCAGAACCTACATTTGGTCCCTGATACAGAGGTTAAAAACCAATGTATTAAATTATATGTTAAGTTTCCTAATGTGACTGTGGAGTGTGTCTATCTAGCAATGTGTATTTTTATATTCAACCATAAATTATTTGGCTGAAAGAGTTTCCTCACTCTTCTGTCCATCGTAAGTTCAGAGAGTAGCAAGCTGTATTTCAGGAGATTCATGTCAACAAAAAAAATCAAATCTAGTCACACACTGTTCTATTAAACAGACTGACTGCTGAAATATGTTGCTTGTTTTTTTTTGTTTTTTTTCTCTCAGCTCTGTAAATATGAAGGAGATTTTAAATGGACAATAAAACCTGTGTCATCCCTGATATGAGTGAACCTACACCTTTCACTGCTCAGTCTCAAGAAATTCAATTTAAAGTTTCTTGCAAATAATGTCACTTCCTGTGATGTCATTGGTTTACACTAACAGGAATTCAGGAGGGGAATATTAAACTTCAGTACAAATCTCCATCTCCAAATAATTTCCAAGGGATTTCATATTTTTGCATAAACTTTTAAAGTGATTTGAAATTATGAAAAATATTTTCATTTTGTAATAGTTTCAATATTTTTTTTCCAATTTTGATTTTCAAAGACATAAATACCTACTATGTACCTTATATGATACACTTTGAAAGGGTTCATATATAAGTGATACCATATCTAATGGATTCAAAAGGAATAAAGAGCACTCAATGCTCAGTGCATTAGATCTATGAGCATTACTTCCCTAGACCACAACATATTACAATGGATATTGCACTTGAGAGGGGAAAAAATGGCAAAACAAGAAAAATGCTTGAGAAGCAGAGAAGAGCATTAAGAAAAAGAAGAAGAGCTAAAAAAAAGTACAATTCGGAGAAAGCTAAGCAAAATAAGATTTTTGATTTGCACCTTATCTCTGGTCAAACATCAGTAAGTCAAGTGGAACATGTTTTTAACATCATTGCCAATTTCTAAAAATCACCAAAATATTCCTCCAATAGTCACCACTTCCTATCATATGACCTCATAGTTTCTTCTGTTTAATTGAAAAAATACAAAATGGTAAAAGCACAAAAAGGCATTCAAAAGGAGAGAAAAAATAGGAAAAAACAACTCATTAAGAAGTGATCATATAAGTGTAGTAATATACTTTTGAAATACACTATGGTAAAGTATTATATAAAAGATGCAGCTACACACTCAATTGCTGGAGCCCCCATAGGTGATCAGCACAAAATAGAAGATAGTTATAGACACAGGATATAAGTGGTGCCCATAAATAGGTAGTGGTCATAGATCAATTGTGCATATAAAGTACAAATGTAAATATGAATACTTAATATAGCTCAAGAGGAGGTCCATGTGGAGTAATGTACATAAAGGAGAGAATACAAAAAAATGGATAATAGTATAGTATGTATAACAAACTTGTGGATATTTAAAAATGTAATAACAATTCATTGGAAAAAATAAACAAGTAAAAACATTGATAATTCAGCTGCTTACAAGATAAGAAAAAGTGAGTATGTGCAGTTACAGATACCGCTACTTACGCAAGCATTTGGCTATTTGCCATACCGGCTTGTTCACTGATAGATGATCCCGACAATAGTAATGTACCAGATGAAGTAGCACTGGGTGTAGAAACAAACCATCTTGAAAAATTTGGGTTAAAACAATTTCCAGTCTTACATTTCATATTTTGTTTTTATATTTGACTATTTTACCTGTAGTTTTGCAAGCTGTTTTTCAAAGCAAAAGAAATAAAAGTTTAGTTAATGGAATATATATATATATATATATATATATATATATATATATATATATATATATATATATATATATTTTTTTTTTTTACAGGTCATCATATTATTTATATAGCCTTGAATTTTGATTGTATGTATCTATTTTTTTGTTGTTGAAATTTAGAAAACAATATATATTTTTAAATTGGCCCAGAGATGCATTAAGGAGGGTTAACTATTTAGCCCTATCACATGTGAGTGGTTCACTTGGATTGCAAGATAATTCTTCATAAAATTGAAATACTACACTATATTTGTATTTTTGGTTTCTGTCATTTTAGCCTTACACCAGTTGGAATATTATTATGAATACTGTTAAGATACATGCCTCATATGGTGTGAATCACAATATCAACATTTGGAAAAAAAAAGTTTGGGGTGACTTAATGACTTAATAGCAAATTTAAGCCAACATCTTTCCACTCATTATTTTTCATATTGACCTATTTTTGCATGCATTTTACAATTATACCAGTATACCTGGAGTCTGTCTAAAGAGATAATAGATTTACAGAAGAGAATTATGTAGCAAGATTATGAAAGAAATGGCACATAACCATTAGGTCGGTATCTAATGAGTGTCAACCAAAGCCCAGTTTAGTGTTGCCAGTTAAGAGAAGAATAGGAGAATTCAGTCAAAGATATTTTTTAAACCAGTCTCAGGTGTGAATGTGAGCCAGCTCTCTGAATTTACTAATACAGCTATGCACAGTGCCAAAACAGTTTTCATGTATTAGTGAGCACCCAGGTAGCAAGAGTCAACGTCTAGCGAATAATTAAAGAAGAAAATTAATTCCATAGCTTTAAAGTATTTGTTTCTGTAATCCTTTGCTTAACTAATATATTTGTGTTGTTTAAAGCAGCTGCTGATTGAAAAACTGCTAATGGCTGCATATAGCACGTTATTAAAACTTCTCGCTTATTTCAGGTGCCACTACCATTGAGAAGTATGACTTGAGAACAAACAGCTGGATACAAATTAGCACCATGAATGGTAGACGCCTGCAATTTGGAGTAGCGGTTATTGACAATAAACTTTACGTGGTTGGGGGGAGAGATGGACTGAAAACATCAAATACCGTGGAGTGTTTCAATCCGGCAACAAAGGTTTGGTCTATAATGCCTCCTATGTCAACCCACAGACACGGTTTGGGTAAGAATAATTAAGCTATTATGGAATGCTATAAAATCTTTTACAATAACTAGAATAATTTAGATGCTGTGTGAAAAGCCTGCTGTTTACAATGTTAATTTACTTAATAAGGATCTATCGTAATTGAGTTTTTTGTTTTCAGCTCCTTACACACAGTACAGTGATGCTGGTAGCTTTATTGATTAAGTAGATCTTCCGTGCAAGCTTTTAAGGCTACTCAGTTTTTTCTTTTCTGGAATGTACACCTAGTGTGTTTAATAGAATGTAGTCTTTTATATAAAACACAAGTGTTTTTCTTCAATACCATGTAATGCATACAGCAAAAGATGGCATTCCGAATACTAAGATACATTCTATTAGGGTTATTCAACAAACTCTGAATTTAGCAAATTAAATCCAATTGGCAAAACTGAGACTAAAATAACTGATTAAGTATAAAAATTTCACTAGACATCACACCTTGGCTATATTACCCTCAGTGCTGCAATTCAGGTTTGATGTGCTCTAATTCAGTGTTTAGTTTATATTCCTGTGTGACTCCATACATTGACTACAACCCCACCTGCTGTTGGAGTTTGTCAAAGACACTCATGAGATGTCTGATGCTCCAACACTCTACAATATCCGCAAACTTGGTGAGTCTTCTGTTTTAGGCAGAATTAAATTATTGTTTGTATGCCTGATTATGTTAGAAGATATGAAATACTCAATAATATGTAACTTTGAAAAAAAGGTTGTTTCCTTAGTGGGAGGTGATTATTTTTCCTTCAGGTCCTACTGAATTCTTCCATAGAATCTGTTCTTTGATATAAGAAATAGAAAATTAGATAGATAGATAGATAGATAGACAACATTCATTATGAAGGCACTAACCTTCAACTCATGTCCAGCTGCTCCAGAACAAGAAAGCATATATGTGTATTTAACCAAGGTAGCAAACAATGCATCAGCATTTTGAACTCTGACTGGTCCTTTCTAAAGTCAAGATTCAAGCCTTGAGAAAGGACCAGTCATGGTATGACATAGTGACACATCCATTGCTACCTCCTATGGATTAAATACACATATACTTTTTTAAAGATGTCCTGTGATTGCCCATCTTATTATACTGATGTGTAAAGTGTGTATATATGAAAACAAACTCCATTTATGTCCTAAAACTAAGACCACATCTCACAAGCTACTGATCTGTTGTTGTGTTGTTGTTGTTGAGTCATCAACACCAGAAATAGATGTCATGTATATCCATACAACATGTCTGCCTATGCGTTAACATGATATGACTGCTTTCACATTGATATGACATATCTGCCCATACATTAATATGATTAGAGAAGCATATTGATTATAATATACAAATATTGCTTTTCTCAGCTTCCATTTCTTTGGAATAAAAATATATCAATCTGATAATGATTAATATTGTATTTTGAATAATATTTATTAAATACTGAAATTTTGCAGAAAAAGACAGAAGCTTAAAAACAAAAACTCATGTACAAAAGGAAAAAAAAACTGCAGAAAACAGTCACATTTTCCTAGAGTGGGACCTTACAACAAACACCTAAAATTCACTATTGATTTTAATCAATATGTTCTTTTTCAATATCGGCACCTTTTGCCTCCAGCCAGAAACCCCACAAAATGGCTTTGTATAAATAAACTAAATATTGTACAAACAAAAACATAAACAAAATATTTTACAAAAATATTTCAATAAATATTTTAGGGATTTACTTAATTATTATCAGCATATCCAGCAACCACACATAATATCTTGCACGTAGAAATTGAGATATTCCACGTATCCCACACAGAAAACAAACACACTATAACTGAAGTGATATTATTGTGGGCAGTTTGTAAAAGATCAGGATCAATATATGTAGTAACTCTTAGCACAGATCAAGCAAACCAATTTACCAGTATTGAAGTATTGAAAATCACTGACTGCCCCAAACCACAAGTGTTAACTGTCAACAATGAACAGAGCTACTAATTAAGTAAGTAAATAATAAGACAAGAGTTATAAATCTTCAAAGCATATAAATATATTTTCATCACGCAGGAAGCGGGGCATATGCAAAACACTCCATACTCAGGATGTGCTTTTTAAATTAATAATGTTCCTTTGCTAGCTAGGGTGATTAAATTTGCAATGTACTATAAGTCTACAGAGAAAGAATAGCTTTAATTTCCAGTTGTTTAATTAGTCTTGATTACATCAGCTGTAAGTTTGATTTATGAATACAAATGTTCAAACACTTGGTTTTCTCATACATGACTAAATTATGCATTGATTATAACTTAATTGCAGGAGTTGCTGTTCTAGAAGGTCCTATGTATGCCATCGGTGGTCATGACGGATGGAGTTACCTTAATACCGTGGAACGTTGGGATCCCCAAGCGAGGCAGTGGAATTATGTAGCCAGCATGTCAACTCCGAGAAGTACTGTGGGAGTTGCAGCATTGAACAGCAAGTAAGTAATTTACGGAGGAATTCTATCTAAGGTTTTTGTGTGCGACAAATAGGTACGTAAATGCACACATCTTTTGTCAGGGCACATTACACATACTATTCAGGAAATGTATGAAAGCAAACCATCTGTTTAAAGTGCACCCTTCTGGAGAACATAAACATAGTGTTTATCTCCACAGGCTATGTACATCGCAGTCCTTAAATCTGAGAATGTTGCAGATTCTGTCCATCAGATTCTGCGGGTGAGTAAACATGAGTGACACTACAAATTGATTCACCAGTCAATTTGTCAACGATTTGTGTTCGAGAATATGCTGCATAAGAAAAGAAGAAGAACTTGCAGGATGTGTCATAGTTTTAATAGCAAAGGTGCTATTTGAATAACTACATAAAAAAGAAAAAAGAAATCCAAGGAATTCATATAATCAATAACCCCATACCTCGTGGGAATTTAACAGCAGCTCGGAACTTCAACTGTAAAAAACATTTCTGCACAGGGGAAAAAAACACACAGGGTGCTTACTCATAAACAATGAACAATTTATTTGCCTATGACTAAGCACCCTGTGTGGATGCAAAATGTGTTAAGTTTAAATGACTTAACCTGCTTTTGCTGAATTGCCCCAATGTCACTTTTTGCTGCTTTGGGACTTATTATTTCTTTTTCGACTATTTTTTTGCATAAAGACTCTTGTTCGACCCAAGAAAATAATTATAATAGAAATATTAATACATTTTTAGAGTGCACTTTTATTTAGGGTATACTCTTCAGATTGAGTTATTGCTGATAAATTATTATTACTGATTCTAAATAAAGTGGTCCCCTGTTCCCCTGCATACAATAGCATCTAGCTGCAGCAATTTGGAAAAATTGCCACAGCTATAAGCTCACCCCCTGACTGTACGATATCAGACGAAGAAGCTAATGTTACAAAAACCTAATGAATACTTGCTCATCGTGTACATGCTATAAAAGTCCTCATTGACATAAACTAGGTACAAAAAAAATGGGGGATAATATCTAATGGCTCACAGCACAATAAACACTACAGTGAGATGTGGTGGCTACAGTTGGTAGAGTTTTCTTTTAACAATTTTTCACTTTTACAAGGCTATCTTAGAAGAAGTGGCTTTCTTCAGAGGGTAAAATGCGTGAAAATTTAATTTATAGGTTATTTACTACTCACCACAGTTTCAGTGCTAAGCATTCTTCTGATATGCAATCAAGGCAGTTTTTGGATTCAGCTTTGCTTAGTGCTGCATCTGCAAGGCAGGCTTCACGCTCCCTTTGTGTAGAGAGGCAGCTGAGCCATTAATGTTTGCTCTTGGCATGTCCGCCCCTGATTGCCAGTTTAAGTTCCTCTGTGTGCATTTTACAAAAGTCAGTAAATGATAGCACAATCACACATTATTTATTCAGGAGGAATAAATAAACTATTTAAAGGTCAGCTGCAAAATTACATTTTTTTTTTTTTATATTCTGAAAACTGCTAGATGGTGGTAAAGTTTTTTTTGCCCATATGGGCTATCTCTACTGTTTATTTTTATTAATGAGGTATTATGTCATGCACAGCATCATCACATTTTCTATAATTTTCGAGTATGCCCTCGGAAAATCTGTGTTCATTTGCAACTTAATGTAGTACACATTAAAATGTCATAAACAGAAGTATCATACCATAGTTAATTATGTTGAAATTTTACTTTTAAATACAGCTGTTTGATGTGTTTAACTGGTTGAGAAGAGATTTATGAATTGTCTTCCTCTTGGAATCTTAAAGGGACACTTAAAGTACCAAAATCCTATATCTAAATGTAGTGGTTGTGATGGCGAGATGATGTCCCTCTTTTCTGTGACAAATCAAGACATTATTTGTGACAAAAGTGTAAATGTTTTCATTTGTCAGAGAATATAATTAACATACTCTAGAGCAGGGGTAGGCAAGCTTTGGCACTCCAGATGTTGTGGACTAAGCCTTGATCCTGGAGTACCAAAGTTTGCCCACCCCTGCTCTAGAGGCTCTCCCTCTAAGACTTTTGAAAAGCCATAGGTCATAGATATCAAAATTATTCCTCATCATCTTGCATTGGAGTGAGCAAAAGTCATCAAATCTGATGACCTCGCTGGATGAAGCGCTGCTGGTATGTGGAGACTGACTGGCTGCTTGAATGTATGTAGGTTTAAAACCAATTTGTATTGTTTATTTTTAAATGGTGTGATAATGGGTTGATCATAAACAAAAGGGGCCAGGTAAAATGAGAAAAGGAGCCAAATTTAACATATGTAAGTGGTCTAAGTATATAAGTAGAAGTGTTTACCAAAAAGTGGATCAATAGGCTACTATAAGCATCAAACATCTTTCATTGAAGTGGTCATAGTGTCTGGAGACCCCTGGCACTGTCCTTCCATTTTTAATGTTTGAATGCAACCCATCCTATTTGAAACATCATGTTGAGCTAATATTTCTAACCAATTTCTTTGTAGATTGTATGCAGTTGGAGGAAGAGATGGGAGTTCTTGCTTGAAGTCTATGGAGTGTTTTGATCCTCACACTAACAAGTGGAGTATGTGTGCTTCTATGTCAAAACGAAGAGGAGGAGTTGGAGTTGCAACATACAATGGATTTCTGTATGCAGTTGGAGGTCATGATGCACCAGCATCAAATCATTGTTCTAGGTTGTCAGACTGTGTGGAAAGGTAAGTCTGCTTTGTGGTTACAATGACTAAAACGGCAAACTTTAAGGGATAGTCTAAGCACCATACCCTCTACAGTTTAATGTAGTTAATATTGTTAAATTATCTTTTGGCACCTTTCACTGTTGTTTTTGTCAAACTGTTTTGTTGTAGTATAAACAAAACTAGGGTTTCCATTGGCAAACACAACCTGCTTCCTCTTCAGCCAACTTGATAATTCAGAGTTTACACTATTTGTGAAGTATTATGCCATCCACAAAATCATCACACTTTATATAATTTTCAAATATACTCTGGGAAAATTTGATATTCATATCAATTGCATTCAACCTTCATGGCTAGAATAGACAAACTTGGTTAACTTGCCCTCAACTGGAAGACACTCATAGACTAGTTGCACTATAACTACTCTACTGACATGTAGCATTTATGGTTCTTAAAATACCCATTTATGCAGGGAGCTCCGTCATTCACTCAATAAGCCGCCAAACCCTTAATTTGTCTTACAGGGCAGTTACTCCCATTAGTAAGAAAAATGTGTTTTCTTTTTAAAGACAACTCTTGATTATGATATAAACCTTTTGCTACCAAGTAATTTAACAAAAAAATACACCACCACCAGAAACACAGTTTCTTGGAGTCATGTAAAGTAAAAATGTCCTCTGGCTTTTTTTATTTAGCTTACATTGTATGTTAATCCCAATATATAAATAATTATAAAATACTTATGTAAATTTGTGTTTTTGTATTATTATATTTTTACAATTTGTGTAGAATAAACACGTTATATACAGAGGTTGCGATAGCTGCTGGCTACCATTGCCTTTGTATTATATATGATATTGCCAAAACGAGACATGAATAATTCTGGAGAATGACGCCTTTTCCACATATATCATTTACAAAATCTGGAAGTCAAGTGTACAGTAGTATAAAGTTAGTACTCAAAAATATCTTATTACAAATGTAGAAATAAGGCTTCATGCTTAATTTACACGCATTTGTATAGGGTGAGCGTAGCTTTGTTCTTTGCATATATCATACTTTTCCTAACAGTATACAGAGTGCCTAGGTAAACAAAAAACTTGCAATATATGTTAATTGCTGAATAGACTTACGGATTTTTTTAAAATGGTTGCTGTAACATTATTTCTTAAATTCAAGGTATGACCCAAAAACAGATAACTGGACGACAGTGGCCCCGTTGAGTGTCCCCAGAGATGCAGTTGGAGTCTGTTGTCTTGGAGACAGGTTATATGCTGTGGGAGGTTATGATGGACAAACATACCTTAGCACTGTTGAATCTTATGATGCTCAAACCAATGAATGGACAGAGGTAAGTGAAGATAGGTATCATCCTAACCTAATGAGACATTCTCAGCTACATATCCACTATACCTTATTACAGGAGCCTTAGTTCAACGAGTCTTTGGGAGCTTTCTTTACTGTAGTCCAAGTCACACTGATTTTGAATGCTGATAAAAACTGTGATTTTCCTGGCACCCAAAACCTGGTCCCTTAGCCACAGATGTAATATTGTGGAAATATAACTTATGCTTTGCTTGTCCAAATATGATAAACATGTATGGAAATTAGAAGTTATGAACTAAGGGGGAGATTTACCCCAGTTCACACAGCCTATCATAAATTAATTATGGGAGATAATAGAGAAACAAAACTACTTCTTTTCAATTTCTAAGTCTGATGGGGTAGATCTGGTTCTGCTTACATTAAACTCTAGTGGTCATGGTGATTAGAGTGTTACTTAAGGATCAATCAAAATCCACTTAAAAGGCCCCCTTCAAACGTGGATGGGACTTCCATGTGAGAAGGCAATATAGGAGGGCAAGATTATGAGTATACAATATCATGATTGCTCTTAGATTTCATATACAAACATTATGTTTTATAACAGCCAATGCGTTTATAAATCTGCTATAAGCTAACCACCAAATATTTTCTAGCAGATAGTTGGTGATATAGCTGTAAAGTTTAGAGCCATTTTCTGTATAAGTATGTCTGATTTTCTGGTTTAATTTTAAGGTCATGTTGTCCTTTCAATCTACTTATTTGATATGACTTTAACTAAGTTGAGTGATAACATACTTCAAGATTAGAGAAATGTTCTGTTCCTGGTTAAATACTTTAATATAATTATTATGACTATAAATCACATTCTTCATTATTAATATTATAGCTAATCCCAAATAGTTTGTCTTTCACAAAAAGAAAATGGCACTAAAACTTGCTTGATTGAGAAAGTTTATATATATATATATATATATATTTAAAATACAAATAAAATAGCATTACGCATGTAGAAATATATATATTTTTTTTGGGGGGGGGCAAAAACTCTTATATTTTATGATAGACATTTTTGGGGCTTTCACATGTGAGAACATTCTAGCACACTAAATCGATGTTGTGGAACTCAATAATATGTATCTGGCACCCTCTAGTGTTACATTAAAATATTGCATTTCAAAATTAGCTCACTAGAATTGAACAAGATTTGATATGAACATTTTTCATTGCTACATTAACATTAAATGTTACTAACTATTATTTGATTTTCTAGTAAATAAATTGTTCTCTTGTTAAACACTCCAAAGTTTTAAAAATAAAGGTCTACCCTAATGTGCAACTCTGAATAAGTACTGAATAAGCATTTTATAAATAGCCCTTAGCAGTTGATGATGTTGTGACATGTAATATAATGTATATTTTTTTTATTTGGTAATAGGATGTCTCTTTGAACATTGGAAGGGCAGGAGCTTCTGTTGTTGTAATCAAGCTACCATGACAGATATTTTACAAGTACCCTTAAAGACTCTCTGCGAACGACATTGCTCAGAGCTGGATTTAAGAAGGCCATATAGACATCATAAGCAAACCTCCTCTTCTCCAGTCTTCTGTGACCTTAATTCACTGGCCTTGACATGGTGGGAACATTAGAAAAAAAGCAGCCTCTGACAATTGTCCTATGACTTTAATTATTTAGGATACAATCTGTGTGAAAAATATTCAACTTTTTGAAAACATTTGACGTTTATTTGGGATATTGATACATTTCACACATAGAGAAAACCAAAACTTTGTCTTTAAAATATATTTTATGTAACATCTTTAAAGATGACCTTTGCCTAGTTGCTTATATTTTAATATTTCTCATTATATAAAATGATAGTGAAAGGGAATATTTTTTATCAAAGGGAATATCTGACAGAAAAGGATTAAAAAAAGAAATGCTTGATTATTCAATTTGTACAAACAGTTAGACCTTGTTCTGTGCTGAAAAGGGGGTGTGTATCCATGTGCAGGGTGACAATGTATACTCCTTTATAACACCAGTTCTTAAGCTGTTTCTAAAATTGTCTTTATATAAATATGTTCATCTTATCCCATCATAGATTTTTTTTTTTTAATCTGATATATTGTACATACATTGTTTATAAAGTTGTTTGAAACAAAAAATCTACAGTGGGAAAAAGAGAAACTTAAGCATTTAAATAAAGACAACTTTATTAATAAAAAAATACATAGAATAATTAGAGCACTATATAGAAAATACAAAATGATATACTGACTTCCAGGCATTTGTACTTCCATGTTATCCACCTTATTGATTTTTGTGTTTAATTACTTTTGATGGGGATTGTAACCAACTTAAATCTTAGCACATTTATTCAAAGATCAATTAACTAATCTAACAATGTTTAGGGGCATAGGACTATAAAATGTACATTTCAGCATTTAAAAGATTCCTTTCCAGCAAGTGTATCTATAAAAAGGCATTATACCCTTATGGCAGAATACATTATTTAACATTCCAGAAACCCAACAACAAGAAAGGCACAATACTAAGAATCCCAGTTTGTTTTAATTTCTGTGATCTATACTTGCCTATAGGCTGTGTTAACATGAAAATGGCTTAAGTGGCTGTAGGGAACTAAGAGGTCATTGATTGTTTTTCAGAAGCTGGTATCTGATAAATATAGATTGTTGTACTTTTAGGATGCATTTTCAACCAGCAATTAGGGAGCTATTCCGTTGACTTCAGAAGAAAATGTATTATTTTATAATGCATTATTTTAAAGGTCACTGACTTTCAAAAGCTCATGTAATCGACTTATTATGACCCATAAAAAGAAAAACTATTGAAATAATACAGTATTCCATGTAGATGATTATTCTTGAACATTTGCAAGCAATTACTAAAATAACAAATGTTTGCAAATATTTTTGTGCATTAAGTTACATTAACATTATCAGTTTATCTTTTAAACTCCTTAATGACCTCTCCATTATATAACTGCAATTCATGCAGAAAGAGTTGAGGAGTTTAAACCCCCTAGATTATAAAACTAGTGAAGTCACAATTCTGTAAAGGTCTGGAAACGTTTATATATGCACTTGGGATATTGACCAAATGTTTTTTAGAGACACAATAGTGTTACCGATATTTGAGTTTATGCACTTAGTTTAGTGTTCCTGGTGATTTAAGAACAAATTAGCAAAATTTAGGATTCACGTATTTTAATTAAATCTCTAATTCACCAAGTTTGAAGCCAAAGTAGCAAAATCACCAAACTCAATTTCTCTATTTAAGGCTATTTAAAAGAAAACAAGTTATGTTTATTTACTAAGAATTTCATTGTGGATAATTGAACTCTGAAAAATGTAATCCATGTACACTAAACTAAGTATAGATGTAAATGTAAGCTAAATTGTAAAAATTATCATAGGGTCGATTATCCAACTAAACTATATTTTACAATTCCTTTGTCAATAATTTACCACCAATCACCATTTGATGAATCAACTAATTCGCCACAAAACCCACATACATTAAGCAGTTACCAAGTAACCAAACCTCTCTACGATACAAACTTGTAGGCTGATATTGCAGTCTGCAAAGAATTCCTGTAGTGTGTGCATTTTCTCTTCCTTTCTCTGTGGCTCTTAGAATGCATCAATGAAGTCTTGATCCATGACCATCACAATTTGCTGTAGAATTAACGATGAGGGAATGGGGCTACCATTTACAATCCTTACGCAGAGATGCGGTGGTACAGAATAGAGACCTGATTTGTCTGCATTGTTAGAAATGGAATAAATATGCTGTTGCTTATTAGCTGCATTTAATTTTGCATGGTTTTGCAAAGCAAAAAGAAAGTTAACACAAGTACATTCATTGTTATAAGGAAGAAGTTAAAAATGACCATCACAAGACTCAGGTGATTCTTAAAGTACCATATAATGGTAGAATTTATGATGACAGTTCCAATTTATCTAGAGAAATTCTAAAATTCCGACAACAGCAGTTCTCGAGCAGATGGACAGCCCTGCTTTAGAGGTTATTATCATGCCTACAGAAATATCAATGTGCAATCACAGCAGTAGAAGAACTGCAACAGCAATAATCAAGGTCAAACCCAATCTACCAAGTATCCAATATGGAAAGTTATTTGTCTTGTTTTGCCAGAAACAAAAATAATAATAGACAAAAATGTTGGCGGGCTATAGCTGGTTATTACTCCCTGTTCACACATCTTTACATTACAAAGCTGCTTTTTTCTAGGAAAGTTATTTTGCAAATTGCAATTTAAATAACAATGAAGACAGTCCTGCTATTTAGCTACAATTTAACTCCAGTTGGCAAGAACAAAAATATCAGTTGACGCCGTCTTAATGTAAATTGCTTTCTGTAGGATTGAAACCTATAAAAGCAATGTTTGTTTAATGTCTTAGAAATGCCTTTAATGGTAATTGCTAATTTTCATATTTCCTTTGGCAAAATCTGTGTCCACAATGTTTTGCTGTGACCACTGATATGTCTGACACATGGCGGCTACACTAACAAAATATTTTGGAAATATGTTTCATATTTAACCCCTTAAGCACACAACTCCTGGAATAAAAGGGAATTATGACGGAATATTTCCGTCATGTGTCCTTAAGGGGTTAAAGCACATTTATAAGCTGTCGAATACCTATGGACATGTTTACAGCTGTATAGCACATAGTGAGACATAAAACTTGAATACCACATTAATAATGTCCCATTCCCAGTCCAGTCTTTCCACAATAAGTTTTGTTCTATAAAGTTTATCACATATTATGCTGTGAATATTAATCTGTATGATTGGAAGGATAAACACTTCAATCAGCTGAAGCAGTTGCAGTGCATGAATTGTCCCTTTAAGTAGAAGTAAAGCTAAGTGAGTTAGCGACTAAAATTAAGCTAGTAGTGATATTTACCATCGCACATGGAAACCTGGTGTTAGTGACTCCTTTCTTGATTACCGAAAGCATTATAAGTTATGGCAGCCACTAATCACTAGTCAGTATCAGTAACGTTTTTTATGTAACGTTGAAACAGACAAGAGACAAGCTTCATCAAATCAGGATAAGTGACATTGCCTTGTGCAGCACCTTTTACTGTCAGTATGACCCCTGCTGGCAGATATACAGCATTGCATCCAACTAACAGCAAAATGGAGTATAACAGTTAGAACCCCATCTTAAATGAATCAAGCTAAATATAATTATATCCAGAGCTGTAGCCCCTATATCCTTCTATAAATACCTGTAGGATATTGAAGAATTAGTACCCTCCTCCTAGCCTATCACAAAGATTATGAAAAGCATGCGAACTGTTATTACTAGGGTTTTTACAATATTACAGAATAATATTCTCAGCATTTTAACCCCTTAAGGACACATGACATGTGTGACATGTCATGATTCCCTTTTATTCCAGAAGTTTGGTCCTTAAGGGGTTAATTGACACTATAGACATCTTAATCTACATTTGTGTTTCTTGTATGTACTTTTAGTAAATAGTCCTGCACTGAAACAGTTTCAAAATACATTGTTTTAATAACTACACACACAAAGCAATCACAATGCCGTGCTTTTATAACACTTACAACTTTTATTAAGGATTTCAATATTAGGTTGCACACAAAACATGCTTGTAAAATTCAGAATTAGATTTGTCAGAGGTGTCTATGTTTTCTTATCTGTGGCCTAAATACTCAGGTGAAATTGATACATTTCTGGCTTAATTATTTGACAAGGTTTGTACTGTACAGACACACACACACCAAACTGCCACCAGTCATATGGAGAATTCTTGTTCTGAAGTTTTTATTTTACCATTAACAGCAGTGTGCATGTTTGCACATTTTGAAAGTTATTTACTAAATAACAAATTCTAGTAATCTGAGACTGGCAACATTTTGTTCAAAATAGGAGAGTTGTTGAATAAAAAAATCAGTCAGGCAAGATTTACACACCTTGGATATTTTAGCCTAAATTTTGCAAGCTGATTAGCAATATATTGTTTAGTAATTAGTACATTTTTGTTTACTTACTCATTATACTTCTATAATATGTTATTATTATTCCATACCATTTTACATTCATAAATTATATCTCTACAAGATGGCAGTATACAAGTCAGCCTGCAGTTTCCTACATAATAGAGATCCCTGGATTTATCTGAGCCACTGTACTTACTGTATTAACATTTATTGTATTATCTTTAGTTTAGTTATTAAAACTTTTCGGAGTATTTTTTTTTTTTTATTAGCTTAGGCTTATTAAAATAATGTCTCCTGTTTTAATAATATTATAATATATTTAAAATGTAATTTTCAACACTCCTTGATTGCTGGTTTATTGAATACTCTTACTGGTATTAATTCTGGTACAGAAGTGAAGGATTCTTTACATGTGCTGTGTATCCAAGCACTGGCACAAAATGGTTACTTATACAAGGACACTATTCCTGCCCTTATGTACTTTCAAAGCACAATGTTTCAATACTATAAAGCTGAAAAATGGGCACTGCTGTCCTGCAGATTATTCTGCACTCTTAACAATGCCTTAAAAATACATCTCAAGGCAAAGCAAGGAAATTAGAATCAAAAGGAGAGAATTAACCTCTTCATAACCTATGACTTGTCTGGAATGTGATAATGAAAAGGAAATACTTGTCATAAAAGGGTTAAAGAAATATATATTATCATTTCAAATAGAAACCATGGTGTATAACAGGGTCATTTAAATCAGCACTGCATAAACACTGCCAACAACATTAATATAAGTAGCATATTAATGTTTATCTCATTTTTACAGTATTGTTTTTTTTTGTGATACTTTTTTTAAAGCTAGACTAATTCAAGCACAGTCCAGAAACAGTAAATTATATTCAAGAACGTCTTTTTTTGTGTGCTAAATACTGCATATCAGACATGTGATTTTTGCTTTCTCACAATGTACGGTATATCATGTTGATATATGTATTGCCTCTCATTTATGTGCCATTTATAGTTACCTTTTAATGTATATATTGTCAGACTTGTGTACTGTGAAGCATAAATTAACTTTAATTAAGCATGTTTACATTTTACCAGCAACTTGAAAATTTAGAACAAACAAATTTCAAAACCGTGTTATTCAGTGAAAAAAAAACAAATAATACTTGCATGAGCATTACATGATATTCAGTGATCATGTTCTAGAAAGCATTTCATTTCACACACTGGAGGTATTTTATACTACTGTCCCTTTTAATAATGGTGACTTCTGAAATGGAATCATGGAATTTCTGGTTTTGCTAAGGCACCCTTTTAGCAAATGCTAACTTGGCACCTGAGATGTCTGAGGACAATTCCCATGATGCTTGCCTTCATGCAAACTGAGCAACGTGAGGATTGAAGTTTTCAAAGATCCGAGGAGTGAAAGTTAGAAATCGCTGCATTATATAATTACAATGTTAAATGTTTCACCTCAAATGTTTCTAAGGGGGAAAAAAAGTGTTATTTTTTAGGTAAAATGTATTCAGATATTGGTAAAATGTTTTAAACTACAACAGCTTGTATTAAATGCTCCCAACATATTTGCCAAAATTAGACCTGGAGCAAAAATGCTATTTTTTTTTTTAAGACTGAGCAGAAATGGTGCAGTTACCTCTACAATTACTGCTCCAAATTCAGTGTTACAAAGTTACATAGGCTGGAAAGAGACATGCGTCCATCAAGTTAAGCCTTTCTCGTATCTAGTTTTGTTGTTGATCCAAAAGAAGGCAAAAAAACAAAAAACGTCTATAGCACTCTCCAATTTTGCAACAAACTTGGAAGTAGTTTACTCCAAACACGCTTCTGTTTTAACTTGATAAATGTTCCTCTCTCCATTTCAACTTCTGATTTTTTTTAATGTTTATAATTGTATGTTGCATTGTTTTGCTGTTATCCTATGTTCAGTACTTACTTACACCTCCTTGAATGATTAAATCACTTCAATTTGTTATAATATCTGTAAAGTTCTAATCTCTCTGTCAAGGTTAATCACTAAAGTAAGAATTTAAAGTGACCTCAAGTTGAATTTAAAACTTTAGGCTAAGGTAACCGAACTGGAAGGGTGGGTGACTCAGAGAATTCTAACAGTTCAGCTATTTTGCCTTGAATTTGAAATTCACTTTGAATTCTCACTTTGGTTTATAACTCTTTCTGTGTTACAAAGCACACTCATGAATGCATTTTTCAATATGTGAATGAGGTTTAGGCATGGTTTTCATAAATAAAGGACTTTTTAAGAAATAAATTAGTTTTTGCTGTTTATTTTTCTTAGTAATATGTGTTGGAAAGATGAATTAATAAATGCTGCATAACCATTAGGAATTGAAGAACCTACAGCTGAGGGAGGGTATCTTTTTAAATAAGGCATTAATAGAGCAATCCTCTTAATTTCAAAGAAAGACAGAAGTGAGATTTTACATGACGGTCATACAGAATTATTCTATAACCCCTTAAGGACACATGACGTGTGACATGTCATGATTCCCTTTTATTCCAGAAGTTTGGTCCTTAAGGGGTTAAATGGTAGAATGTTTTAAAGGGGAACTGTCAAATCCCAGGATTTTTAATATTATGTTTACTAATTCTTGTTTTTTAACAAATCTACATCTGTGATGTGTGAAAAATAAAATTAAATGCTAAAATCCATACCTATTTTTTGGGGATCCCACTATCGCAAAGGAAGGGGAAAAAAGGTAAATCCTCATCTATTGTACAATTCCAACAATGCTTTGCCAGATGGGGATTTACCATGTACCAATCGTTGCAGATTTGTATTTAGCACTGGTCCATGTTTGTATGTTTGAATGTAAGCATGTTTTTGTAAGAAGAATATGAATTGAATGTAGGGGTGTATTTGCGTGTAGAGCAGTTTTTTGTTTTATGTACCTTTGCCATTTTCAAGCTATAGTTTACTTGTGTGTAATGTTTGCCTTGAATGGTGGGGTGAGTCTGTATGCAGTGTTGACATTTAAATTGGTGTGTAGTGTTGGAGTTTGAAGGCTGAGATGTATGCACATATATATATACACACATCCGAATACACCGATACACACACTGACACACATACAGATACACAGGTACAGGCAAGGAGATACACAGACAGATCTTGTGACACATACGGATACATGGGCACACAAATACACTAACACGTATACATACACAGAAACATACATACTGGCACACTTGCAGATATACAGCCACACAGATATGCACAATGACACTCATACAAATACTGACAGATACAGATAAAAAGACATAGACAGATAAGTAGGGTTCCCAGTGCAGCCAAACTGGCAATAGTTCCGCCACTGTCTGGATTCAAAGGGGACTGTAATGCCATTTGCAAAACCTTTAATATAAAAAAACAGAGATTCTGTTCTGGAGATTTTGCAACCATAAAAGGGGTGCCCAAATTCAAAGAACTGACTAAGCATATTTTGAATTACGATCAGAAATGGAACAGCCCAGGCCAGGGGTAGACAACCTCCAGCTAGGCAACCTTACATGTTGTAAACTGAATCCCCCTGATGCTTTGCCAGCATAATATCTGTAAGTGTATTAAAGTAGATATAGTACACAACATGTGGAGTGTCAAAAGTTGCCTAGGGTAACTGCAAATACATGTAAAGACTAGCTTGCATTGCTCTTTATGGGTCAATCCCAAAAAGGCTAAGTAAAAGAAATTATTTCCAGATAGAGGAGACTTGGCCAGCATAGATGTGTCTAAAATGCTGAATTTCTACAGAAACTTGAAGATTAAATATTTTCACTCAATTAAAAATTTAGAAGACTTACCTGCAATCATTTAGACTCTCTTTTTATTTAGTAAAGAAAATAAAGCAGCGTTATAAGCAAAAGGAGGTGTCTAGTGCTGCTAGGAAATCACCAAGTGCAATGTCACTCTACTACACTTACAAACATGTGATCAAACAGGAACAAAGTGATCCAGCGCACAAAAGGAGTAAAATGTTACCTTCTGAAATATATATATATATAACAGGTACTCCATGTAAAATGATTCTGTAACCTATGTAAAATAGATATACATACACATAGTGTAATCTGTATTTACACAGTTATAATAGATGAAGATAATCTATCAACTCACAATTTTTTGAGCCTATTAGAAGTTGTCTCTAAACTTGTAAAGCATTTCATCTCACTTCAGGAGATAGGATTAGTATAATCACGTCCACAGGAACTCAGGAACTTGATATTAGCAGCAAAGATTCCAGGGTCCAAAGTGACACACATAAAAAATATTTATTTAAACTTGATAAAAAATATATAACATAAATGTATAAGAAGCACAACGCATTTCAACCTATATAAGGTCTTCCTCAGGTGTAGATATGCTGTACATTGAAACTCCATCATATATATATATATGGGACATACTTAATTACAAACAATATGGCGCCACATCCGGTTCGTGACCTATTCCTATGCCCTCCCAAACATGTGCATCCATGCTGTGCGTTGCATCACTTCCGGTGACGTATTTCCGGTTTTCTGTGCGTCACGTCACTTCCGGTGACGTATTCCTCCGGCATTATACTCTGTAGCTTGATCAGATTATGGATGTGATGGATTAATTCTATATTTATTATATGGATTAATTCTATATTTATTTCTGTTTTTATTTATGGTCTTATCTATATGCAATTAATCCCCATATATCTAACTTTGTTAATATCTTTTTTCTTTCCTATTATTGTATGCACTTTATGGACAATTTGGACACTATGGGCATATATGCCCTTTACTTCAATGGTATATTGGACATTAAAAGCCACTCCCCTGGGAGGTTCACAAGGAATTGACTGCGATAATCTGATCAAGCTATAGAGTATAATGCCGGAGGAATACGTCACCGGAAGTGACGCGACGCACAAAAAAAACGGAAATACGTCACCAGAAGTGACGCTACGCACAGTATGGATGGACATGTTTGGGAGGGCATAGGAATAGGCCTCGAACCGGATGTGGTGCCATATTGGGATGGCAAACCACATCCGGTCATGACCATATTTGGAAGTGGGTGGGAACCCACACCCTAATTATCATTGTTTGTAATTAAGTATGTCCCATATATATATGATGGAGTTTCAATGTACAGCATATCTTCACCCGAGGAAGACCTTATATAGGTTGAAACGCGTTGTGCTTCTTATACATTTATTTTATTCATTTTTTATCAAGTTTAAATAAATACTTTTTATACGTGTCACTTTGGACCCTCGAATCTTTGCTGCTAATATCAAGTTCCTGAGTTCCTGTGGACGTGATTATACTAATCCTATCTCCTGAAGTGAGATGAAATGCTTTACAAGTTTAGAGACAACTTCTAATAGGCTCAAAAAATTGTGAGTTGATAGATTATCTTCATCTATTATAACTGTGTAAATACAGATTACACTATATGTATGTATATCTATTTTACATAGGTTACAGAATCATTTTACACAGAGTACCTGTTATATACATATATATATTTCAGAAGGTAAAATTTTACTCCTTTTGTGCGCTGGATCACTTTGTTTCTGTATGATCTCTTTTTATTTAAGATGACTATAACTCAATTTCTATGGAAATACAAGAAGAAAAATCTTCATTCTAATTTGTCTGTTAGTCACAGAGAATAGAAGTGTCACTTTGCATTTAAGACTTACTCCACGAACTACAGCAGCTGGTTGTAAAAGGCAAGAGTTCCTGCTCATATTGTGTGTGCAAACATCATGTTCCACGATTTTAAAATATCTGCCTTAATGCAGAAAGCATTTAACAAAAATTATTAAGAGCCTCTGTTTGTAGGCTTTGATTAAAGAATTAAGCATAGCAATTAAGTGAATTGTAATGTGGTGTAACCAATGCAGATGGGCGAATTTACCCATTCCAATTAAAAAAAAAATTAAGTTATATTCTTCTTTGCACTTTGATAAGCATTTTCTTTTAAAAGTCATATTTTCCCATCTTTATCAAATTTACACACGGTCGGATATATTCCTGACTTGACAATCTGTTAATAAACTATTAGCAATTAGTACCCTAAAAATTCTGTTTTATTTACTAATTATTTATAAGCAACCTTGTGTTATTATCCCTGTAAAGAACACATAGTTCTGCTGTAAGGGAAATCTTTCCTCAAGGCTCAATGGATGATATCCTATTCTCCAGGTTACCAGAGATCTGTGTGTATTTGTCCTGTGTATATGTATATATTATAACCATATATCTCCTATCTGCCATTTTTAAATATAGCAGGTTTCTAAGTAAAGAATGTTTCTAAAATTGTCCTACTTCCATTGAGCCCATTTTAGCTACCAGTCTTCTAAGCCAATATTCCATACTGTTCTTTCAAGCATATTATCTTTATCTTCCCACCTGCAAAGTCACTTATCCTATGCCCTCACATGCCGATATCCCCTCAACCTACGGATTTACCCCTTTATCTTCACATTTATTTTTCCCTTAATACTATTTCTCTTTCCAAGCCCATAACCTACTGAATGCTTTATTCTAATCCTTCTCTATTCTCCTTTCCCTTAATTCATTTTCCTCTACCATTTATTCATCCCAGTCCCATTTTCTAGTTCCTTCACATGATTTCAGTACCCATGCATGCCTTTCACTTTGCACACGCTTCCATTTTGTCTCTTGTCTTCCTTCTAATCTCCCTAAATCCCCCTCTTCTATTACTCAATTTCCTTCAACACATTTCCCTGTTCTATTTACCTCCTTCTTTTCCCTTCCTCTAAACCAGTTCCTATTCCAATCCATTCACATAGTTTTATCCCTGCACCTTTACTTATACACAAGTCTCCTTTTTTCTCCAATTCCCTTTACACCAGCCCCTTTTTAAGGCAATCCGTATTTAAACCTTTACTGATGCTTGTTTCACAATCAAATGTCGTACTCATTGAGCAATGGAGAAGCTGTATACATCTGTAAAAGCCAAATAAGCGGCATATTTCATACATACATAGAGATTATGGGGGTTTTATTGATGATGGCATGAAATATAATTAATGCTTTAATACCAATAATGAACATTTTACCTTTTTTGAAAACTTTGCTAGCCATTCTTCCCTTTGAAACCAGTCGAACCTTTTTAACCCAGTTGCCATTTCACTGTCTCATATATCATTGTCTCATAAAGCCATTCCACCTATATTACTCCATTCCAACATATTAGTCCATTTCCATTCCAACATATTAGTCCATATTAGTTCATTTCTCTCTTT